AAAAAAGTTGGGGCAGCTTGTCTTAACTGCTAGGGTTAGACCCAAAGCACATGCAGTGTGTGTTTGGTTGAAACACTAAACTCGGACCATTTTCTATTTATGCCCTGGACCTTGGAGATTGATGGGCAAAACTGGAAAGTTACACATAACCCCTAGACTTGATTATGTTACTATAATATGTGTTGGATTGGGCTGTCTTTGATATGCCACTCAGTGAGATCCATTGAGGGTCAAAACCTGGGTATGTTGGGACAGTCTGAGAATTCATCTGAGTGGGTGATCATAGTGATAGGATCGGCCCCTTTGTCGAATAAAGTGAATGATAGGGCTTACACTCTCTAATAATGAAAACCTAAACTACTGACAATGGATTTCAACTGTGTTTGAGATTTGGTTTTGCAAAATATATTTATATATATATATATATTAATGTTTTATGAAAAATGTTTGCAAAAGGCTTTAATTCCCAAGATCCATCCATGCAGAGAGTGTGATACTGTACCTTGCAGCCAAGGGAGAGATCCTTCCCTATTGGGCAATGTTTGATCATTATGGGCTGAGAGGTTAAGTGTAAGAAACCATTAAGGGWTGATTACCTGATGGACTTTATCTTACTTAAGTCCATTATCCTTGGGTCGTCCATCTTCATAGGATGACTGAATTCAATAATCATTTAAATGTAAATGTTGGGCCCATATTGAGCCCATAGTGATGTGCTCAAGGGTTCACTGCATTTAGCAATGGATTCGGCCAAGCCTTTTGACAAAGGTTGGGTTGAACCCATGTGGACTTATGTGAGGTCATTGTGGGGTCCCACACCATACAAATTAGGCCTATGTTGGCCATGCAACACACTTGGGTCGTGAGCCTTATAGCTTATGGGCCTAAGGCCCATAATTAATATGATTAATTAAGTCGTTACATGACAGCTTAAGTTGTCACGTGAAATGCAGTGAATCTGGGTTTGCATCTGGGTATGGAGCACCTAATCTTATAAAGAAGATAAGGTATATCTCTAATTAGAGTCCAGATCTGATTTGGATCTGGATTATCTCCTAATTAGATTAGGAGATAGCTCCATAAGAGATTATAAAAGAAGAGGGGGTGAACCAATCCAAGACAACTTCATATTTTTTGTAGTTTTTTGTTCTCTCTACACCCTTTTGTCTCCTAGTTTTCTCCCAGTTCGACCTCAGCTATCTGGAACTGATATATATCAGTTTTTCCTCTGATTTTTGCAAGAAAAATTCAGGGGATAATAGGCTCAACTTCCCTAGTTCGACCCAAGCAGTTGGGTTGCAGTTTTGCTGAAAACTGTGTTGCTGAACCGGCTTCAAGAATACACTGCACSATCTTCAGTGGAGGTTGGTTTTAGAACTGATTTGGGTGTGAACTCCACCTTGGAATCTGTGTTTGTGGTATYAGTATCAGGTATTCATCTCCCTTTTTGATTGGTTTCAAATCTGGTCCTGTTTGGTGCAAGACCGATCCTGAAAAATGCAATTTTTCAAAACATAGGGAATTCGATTCCCAGAAGGATTAGGAAAATTTTGAAATCTCGCCCATCCATCTAGCATGGTTCGGCCATCCATAGGATGGATTCTAACCCTTCCAACAATAAATATGTATGGACGGTTTACACAAAGGCAATGAAGTTTATCGAGTTTTCTTCAGCTTATGCTAGCTATGGTGAGTGATTCCCATGCCCTAGAGTGATTCTAGGCACCCTGTGAGTGATCCCAAGTATTTTCTCTCTTCTTTCTCTCCCTACTATCTTATTCCTTCAAGAAGCCATTACAGCCATCAACAGCCATAAAATTCTGATCCAAGAGACCATTCATCATTCTCTAAGGACTAGAACTGAGATGGTCCTACAATAATGGGCTTTTTTCTGTGAAGTCCTCTGCTAGCAAATTAATGGCTTCAGATCAGGTGAGCTTCCAGGCTAAGCAGATTTGGAATCTTACTTCCCCCTTGGTTGACTTTCTTAGTTTGAGCAGTTGTGTTTGAGAACTTGACAAATGCCTTACTAAGGAAAGCCTTTTGAGGAGGGGTGCAGTTTCAAGACACAAATTGTGGTCCATGTGGCAGGGAGTCCGAGTCTGTTGACCACCTTTGCATCCATTGTTCGGTGACAGAAAAAATCTGGTGAAGCAGTACAGCCCTCTACAGCAATAGAGGATACAAAAGAATGAGTTTTGGAAAGAAATGAGCATCCCAAAGTTACTAAAAAATATGAGAGGAGGAACTAAGGCTGAAGTGGTTTCTAAACTTATAGCTTCTATTTTCTTGTTTAGGAAATCGTTAGGCAACTACTATTTTGAAGAGCTTTCTAATTTAGGAGTTTTCATCTTTTGGTTTCTGCGTTAGAAGTTTCTAATTTTAAAGAGTTCTAGGATTCTTATTAGGACTCAACTGCAGCTTTACTAGTCAATATCATCATCATCCATGCCTTACTAGTCTATATATACGTGTAATTTTTTCCAAAATGGCAGAATTGAATGATAATTGAGTGAGTTAATTTCTTCTTCTCTAATAGCTGTTTTCTTCTCTTGAAATCAGTGTTGGAGAAATATGTGGTTTCTTCTTTCTTTTGATACTTGCTAGTAGTTCTCTGCTACTAAAAGAAAATCATCAACTATTCTCTGAATTTTCCCCTAGATTCGGAGCATACTTTGTTGGGTTTTGAAGCAAGTCTACCCATTGACCTTGCCTTCTATCTACCAGCACTATGTCAGTTGGAATCAGAGCCAAGATGCCCCCCTAAAAGGGCCTCTGATCCTCCTTCCATTGAGGAAACCAGAAAGATCACTATTAAAACTACCAAGGAGTTGATGCAATGCCAAGAGGAGAAACAGAAACAATAGCTGATGCAACATAGGCAAGAATTAAAGAAGAAATTAGTTGCATATCTAAGTAATCTAATTTACCAGCTGGTACAACCCCAAGAGCCACAATCTTCTAGACAGCCAAAAGAATTTGTAGGGCAAACCAAACTGGAAAATCACCTTCAGCTACATTACCATCCCACTAAGCCTGTTTCTATCTTTTATGGCCCAGTCTTAGCCCAGGCCGTTTCTCAAAATAACTTCTCTACTAACAAGCCACTTTGCCCAAACCAGCTACTAATGTGGTTGGTAAAAAGTGCTACTGCCATGTTGAATGAAGTCACGTTGACTTAGATGCAAGAAGGTGGAGAATTTGACAATCAATGTCAGCTAGAAGAACCTAAAATTCCTAGTGAAGAAGAGGCAAAGGATGCTAACTATGTTATCTATGAAGACTCTTATGGTGCTATTTTGATGAAACAATTGTTACTTGATACTCCAAAAGGTAACAAGAACTTGAAAACGAGAGAATATGGTTTGCCTTTCTATATCTGAATTTGAGCATGAGATGGTAGAACAAGAGAGAGAGTATTTGTGTATGTAGCAAAAGGGAATGTTATGGCTTGGGCAAAGATCACACAAGACATAACTTCCTAATCCTACTCCAATCATCTTCACAAGACATAATGCCTTTCCAGACACAAATCCCACAAGAGCTTGACACCTCTCTCAGCACATCAAACTCAAGGACAAGTTCTTTTCAAGAGGTGGTGGCTGATGCAGTACAGACTTCTGCAGTAAAAGAGGATACAGTAGAATAATTTTTTGGAAAGATCTGAGCTTCCCAAAGTTACTAAAAAATATATGAGAGGAGGAACTAAGGCTGACAGCCGTTTCTAAATTTATAGCTTCTATTTTCTTGTTTAGGAAATTGTTAGACAACTCCTATTGTGAAGAGTTTCTATTTTAGGAATTTCCATTTTTTGCGTTTTGTGTATTTTATTGAAGTTCTAATTTTAAAGAGTTCTAGGATTCTATTTAGGAGTGAACTGCAATTTTACTAGTCTATATATACATATAAATTTGTCCAAAATGGCAGAATTGAATGACAATTGAATCAGTTAATTTCATCTTCTCTACAGCTACTTTCTTCCCTTGAAATCGGTGTTGGAGAAACATGTGGTTTCTTCTTTCTTTTGATACTTGCTAGTAGTTCTTTGGTACTAGAAGAAAACCACCAACTATTCTTTGGATTTTCCCCTAGATTCAGAGCTTACTTCGTTGGGTTTTGAAGCAAGGCTATCCATCGACCTTTCCTTCTATCTACTAGCATTGTTAGCTTCACTTCTAGAATCATTTTATTAGAGATGCTGGTCTAATCTGAGTAATGCCAAAGTCTGTGAAGGAGCTACTTTGGAGTTGGAGCCTACCTGTGACTATATCGGTGTATCAGTCTGTATCGATATTTTGAACCTTGAGCACAACTTTAGACTCTCTCTTCTTCTCTCTTCATCCCTTCTCTTAGGGTTTTTTTTTTTTGTTTAATAGAGACAAAAGGAAATATAACTAATTTTCTAAAATATTCCATACTTTATTGAAAAAAATCTAAAGAACATATGCAAAATCCATTGAAAGAAGCACAATGAGATTGCTATAAATGCAACATTTTACTTTCATTGCAAAAGATGTACACCCAAAAAATTCCAATAACTAGAATAGTTAATGCCAATTTCACAAAACATCCAATATGTTCCATTACTTTGGAGTTTGAATGATCAGGGCAAATACAAGCTCTGCAAAGAGTATGAAAAATGGAAGCCAATAAACATCCATGGAGGTTCAAAATTTTACCTTTCTGCCATAAATTAAAAAAAAAATGCCAATATCTCTCAATATCCATGAGTTCGGTCAGTATTAAAGATGTATCCCCTGTTGTTTTTACAATGGAAATGGATATTCCCATAGAAAATGAATTCTTGACTTAAACATGTAGTTGCTTTTTTTTTTTGATGAATTAAACATGTAGTTGCTTTGTTCCCCTTACAATTGAAAACAAAAAAACAGGGATATGCCCAGCTTCCTAAGAAAACTATGTTTCCAATAAAACATAGTTTCCAAAAAAACAGGGATATCCACTTGTGAATCGAAGCATCATACTGACCAACAAAACTATGTTTCCAATATTTCTTTCTATCACCATGAGTGGATTTGCACCATCTAATACAAAGCAGGGAATGATCAGGAAAACCATTAAAGCACCTAACTTTAATTAAGCATACAAAACCCTACCCAATTCAACAATGTTTCGATTCTTTCATTCTATCACCATGATCAAATTTGCACCACCATCCAACATTCTTTCTCAATAAATGGTCAAGAAAATCTTCCCACTGTGACCAACATTTCCAATTTCATTGGTTCAACATTTGAATTCAAAAAATTCAAAACCTTAATTTACACCCTCTTCAAGCTTCTCTTTTCCCCATCGTTCTTTCTCTGATGACCCTGAATCACCTACAAGAAAACCTCTCCGTCCTAAAATAACAAGATCAAGAAGTTTCCTCCTCGCTTCATAAACTGGATTTGGATCGATTAAACACCCCCGCTGGTAAGCCTCTCTTAGGAAAACCGTGTGCCTTTTTCCCTTAGTTGACAAATAGAAAATTCCAGGGTGATCCAAAAATAGGTCCCTTATATTCAAATCAATCCCAAACCATTTCCTGAAGTGGCTTATCTTCTCCACCTCCACCATTTTCTCCACTGACAAACTCAAGAACTCATGAACAATCCCAACGGCCCGTTTCTCCAATGCCTTCATACCAGCTCTTAACCTCATCTTCTCCTTCATCTCCTCATATGGCCCAACATACGGCAGTTTCTGCCATTCCTTAACTCTAGCCCTAAAATCCTTACTCAACTTCATTCCAGGTGGAAACCCATGTTTAAAAGCGAATCTAATTTCTGCAGCATCAACTTTAGAGTCCTGCCCACAGCACTCTGTAATCCTCCAATTCTCAACCGAGGCAGATAAATCAGTGTCGAGGTTTCTAGGGTCCAGTTTCAAGATATGAGTATTTGGTTCATGGGCATCGCAAAGTAAGAAAAGATTAGGGTTTTGAGCAATTACCGACTGCTCGAAATCATCAGGCAGCCCGAATTCCCTCCAGACCTTGAAAATTGCTCGCAGGGGAAGTGATTTGGAGACCGACATGGACAGAAGTCGAACCAGTCGGTCGACGACGACGGGCTTGGAAGCATCGATTGCAGCTGCTTCTTGGCAGGAAATCTGACTGGCGACATCTGTTAATTTGCAGAACGGCTGGGACTTGGAGGCGTTGTAGAAAATGGAGAAAATGCGAGGGTATTTACGGAGAAAGGACAAAGCGCCCCGATTGAGGTGAAGTTTCTGAGAAACCCTGTTGAGGAAATCGAGAGATATGGTCCGGTTTTTAGGATTTGCGATGATGAGGTCTTGAACAGAGACGACTTTGAGGAGGTTCTTGTAGTTGTCCATGAATTTCTCGAATGTTGGGTCTCTGGCCCTCGTTGCTACGTATTGAACAGATGTTACTTTAAAGCGAACGGTGCTGAATGGACAGTTGAGAGATTTAAAAATGAAGTTTGATCGGAGTATGTTTCTAATTGCCATGAGCGAAGGATTTCTGAGGTTTGTTCTATCGCCGATGAGAAGAAGAAGGTCGCCACTCGCCTGCCAGCTGCTTTTTTTGGGTAAATTACAAGGACCCGTAGACTATGGGTTCAGTGACAAAGACCCCCTATAATTTTCGAAAAAACCCTTTTAACTTTTACGTTGCGGCAAATGCCCCCTCAGACGTTAATTCGGATGATGGAAGGCGTTAAATTATTAAAATACTCTATTAAGGTCCTGTTTGGAAACGTTCCCACTTGTTTTTGTTCTTTTAAAAATATATTCCTGTATTAGAACAAGAATTTTATTTCTTGCTCTCCAGGAATAATATAGGCATTTGGCAAATTATTCTTGAAAATGGATTTTTGTTCTACAAAAATAGAAATAATTTTTGGATACAAAAGCAATTTCTTAACATCAGTTATGTAAATCCATCCTCATAAGTGTAAAATTGTAAAGAGAACTCTCTCTCTCTCTCTATGTTTGGCCCTATGCATGTGAAATCTGATGTTCTCCCCCTCTTGTTTGTGTTTTGGCTACAGCATTAGAATCAAACAACTCAAGATTAAACTTGTTTATATGCCACCACAACAGAAATTAGAAATAGGTTTATGCCACCACAACAGAAATTAGAAATAGGAGATTATATCCCAAAACATTTTTTTACTGACCGTAGATCATTCATGAAACATTTTGATAATGCTGTTATTTGTTATATCCCAGAATTGACTTAGGCTGTGAATTCATGATTTTATTAGGGCCTTTATTCTTGGAAGAGATGATTTCTATTATAATTCAAGGGTTTATTTTTTAGAAAGAAAGAAACCCTTAAAGAATTTTATTCTTTGTCTAGTTTCATGATGTATCTTAGCCAAACTGAAGTCCAAACATGAAGACAAAGCCCGAATTAATAATCCAAGGAAGGGAATCCACTATTTCATTAGACATTTTTTGTTTTGGTATTACTCGTTGGCATTATTGCATATGGCTTTTAATGGATAGGGAAGTTCTTTATTAAATGATAAAGAATGAGAAAATTTTGATTAGAACTAAACCACACAAATCTAATTTTTTATTAAAACTGTTGAAAGGGTTAGGATCCATCATATAGATGGTCGAACCATGYTAAATGGCTTGGAGAAATTTCAAAAATTTTCTGATCCTTTTGTGAATCAAATTCCCTATGTTTTGAAAAACTGCATTTTTCAGGATCGGTCTTGCATTGAACCGGACCAGATTTGAAACCAAAAAAAGAAGGAGATTTATACCTGATATAGATACCACAAACACGGATCCTGATGGAGGGTGATTTGGCCCGACCACGTAGCACGGGGACACGTGTGTGTGGCCTGGCTCAAGGAACAGCTCAGCCTGACAACACAACTGCGACTCGGCGGAAGAGACACGCCGAGTCCTACGCTATCCACTCAGTGGGTTAAGCGACTCGCCGAGGACTAACACCCGGCTAACCTTGACTTTCATCAAGTGTGGGAGGTCCCGAGCTCCTCCCAAGGCCCGAGCTCTTCCTAAGGGGGCTCTGAGCTCTCCCTCCCTAAGAAGGGAGGACCCTGGTTTTCAACTAAGTATCCCAAGGGAGAAACACCTTGGGGTAGCACCGTCCCCAACGTAGGCACCTCGGCACCTCGGTGCCAAGACAAACCTACCCCAGGTAGTCCGGTGCACAGTAGCTCGGCAGGCTATGGGGAGGCTTGCCTGACATCCGTACCTGCTGGACCCGATGGCAAGGCTTTGATCCCTTGCCAGGCGGCGTTCTGCCTGCCCAGCGGCGTTCCGCCTGCCAGGCGGCGTTCTGTTTCTCGTCTCTAAAAAGCATGGCACGTCAATCAAGTCCATACCTAGCGATAGTACTC